AGCATGCAGCTCTCACTTTTTGGCATTCTTGTGGAATGTTGGGCAAAACAGCCCAGCCAATAGAATTGATTGTGTTAAAGTTGTAGGGTTAATTTTCCATTGTGCAAGACCAGGAATGGAGATTATAATCATTACCCCACCACACCGGGTGTACTAAAATGGGGGCGGGAACATGCAACCAGCCCTCAATTGATTTGCTGGTGATTCACGGGTACATATATATGTTTGCATATGGTGTGCAAGATGGTGTGGCAGCCTCATGACTCACCCCTGATTTATACAAGGTCTTGGGGTTTATTTATCTATTTGTAACAGTTTTGCAGCTGACAGATCAAATGCTTTTTTACCATATGGAAAACTCCACTCTAGGTGCAGTGTGACTTTTTAAACTCAGCTGTCAAGAAGCAGTTACCCGATTTTAACACAGTCATGGCTCTGGAAAAGTGGAACCGGGAACAACATTTGCTAAACAGAGACATGAACCTCATTTTTAATATGAGAGACATCAGACAATGGATAAATCCCTGGGCTATATATGGTTTGGTATCTTATGTTGAGTACCTCCGCCATACCTCGTGATAGCAACCTTATTTGCCAAGAAAAAAAAAATGAATCCCAAATAAATAAGCCTGATTTTTTTTAGGTTTATACACCATCACGCTTAATGGTTTGTAGTGGAATTATAAAATATAAATCTGTAATTTCACTATAGAGGGTTCACTTGGTCAGTCACAATGTGATCATGAGCTGATGGTTATGCAGATAAAAAGCAATGCCCACTTAATGACATGCACAATTATCTTACAGATGTTTCAAAGCAGACAGGGGAAGGAAGGAAGCAATTAATTAATGAATTCATCAAAGGCTTCAAACAAATATCCTAATAGGGCCCGTGGAAAGGGGTTACCTATTTCACTGTTACTTTGATGGCCAATAATGTAGGTTGCTCCGAGGTCTATAGTTCGGTTTAAGCTAAATAACTAACAGAAGACCTTACGGATTTCATTTAATTTCCAGGTCGAATTATGAAGAGACTTTGATGCAAGACAGAAAATACACATTTATTTGGCATCATGAAGGTCTATTTATTCATTAAAAACACATCTAGAAGTGGTTACCGTAAAGAAAAAAAAAAAACACACTATACTTTTTAGATACCTATGCATTCAATAGTATTTAATCCGAGGATAGGAAATGGAAGAGAAATTAACAGAGACATTTAAAGAAACTTTAAACTTACGGCCCATCTGTAGAATGTAGCACCCACATGTCATCCAGCGGTGTCTTGGTCTTGCCATGGTCACCACTCTTGTCATCATAAAGGATGATCTCGGCCAATCACATGCTTCTCCATAAAGAAGCATTGAGAACCATACACAGCACACTCTGCAACTACCCTTTATAGGCCCCCAGGAGAAATTGAGGAGTTAGATAATCTACTAGTTGAGGAAATAGCTAAAATGACAATGAAGGGGGAAGTTATCAGCATGGGTGACTTTAATCACTGATGTAAATTGGAAAACTAATCCGGATGTAAATTGGAAAACAAAATTAGCTACTTGTGCAAGGAGCACACATATTCTAAACTCCCTACTGGGATTGTCTCTAAAACAAGTTGTTGAGGAGCCAACTCGTAAAGAGGCCATACTAGATTTAGTGTTAACAAATGGAGATTTGGTATCAGATATTACTGTAGGTGAAAGTTTAGGATCCAGTGATCATCAGTCAGTGTGGTTTAATATAAGAACAGTGACTGAGTCACACCACACAAAAACAAAAGTTTTAGACTTTAGAAAAACAGACTTTTCTAAAATTAGAATATGGGTAGAGGAGTCATTATCAGACTGGAGCAATTTAAATGGAGTCCAAGAGAAATAGGATTATTTCAAAGTTGCACTATTGAAGGCAACAGAAAATTGCATTAGGCTTGTCAGTAAAAGCAAAACATTCAAGAAACCACTGTGGTACTCCGCAGATGTGGCCAAAATAGTTAAAAACAAAAAGTTAGCATTTAGGAATTATAAAAAAAAATCAGAGTGAGGAAGACAAAATGATCTATACGATTAGGCAGAAAGAGGCTAAGCAAGTAATAAGAGCTTCCAAATCACACACAGAAGAGAAAATAGCACAGTCAGTAAAAAAGGGGGGACAAAACATTTTTTAGATAAATAAATGAGAAAAGAAAAGTAAAACAAGGATTAGTTAGATTAAAAACAAAAGAAGGATGGTATGTAGAAGAGGATAAAGGTCTAGCTGACTGCCTCAATTAATATTTTTGTTCTGTATTTACAGATGAAAATGAAGGAAAGGGACCTCAGTTAAGAAAAAGGATAAAGGAGTCATTTATTACATGTGAGTTTACAGAGGAAGAGGTTCTATTTCAACTGTCAAAAGTAAAGACAAATAAGTCAATGGGACCTGATGGAATACACCCAAAGCTATTAAAAGAGCTTAGTGGTGTTCTAGCAAAACCATTAACAGATTTATTTAACCAATCATTGTTAACAGGAGTAGTCCCAGAAGATTGGAAGTTAGCGAATGTTGTGCCCATTTACAAGAAAGGTAATAGGGAGGAGTCGGGCAACTATAGGCCAGTAAGCCTTACTTCAGTAGTGGGGAAAGTGATGGAAACCATGTTAAAGGATAGGATTGTTGAACATCTAAAAACACATGGATTTCAAGATCAGAGACAACATGGGTTTACTTCAGGGAGATCATGCCAAACTAATCTTATTGATTTGATTGGGTAACTAAAATTATAGATCAGGGTGGTGCAGTTGACATTGCTTACCTAGATTTCAGTAAGGCTTTTGACACTGTTGCACATAGAAGGCTTATCAATAAACTGCAATCTTTAAGTTTGGATTCCAATATTGTTGAATGGGTAAGGCAGTGGCTAAGTGACAGGCAAAAGTAGTTGTAGTTAATGGAATATATTCGAAGCTTGGACTTGTTACCAGTGGGGTACCTCAGGGATCTGTACTTGGACCCATTCTCTTTAATATTTTTATTAGTGATATTGCAGAAGGTCTTGATGGTAAGGTATGTCTTTTTGCTGATGATACTAAGATATGTAACTGGGTTGATGTTCCAGGAGGGATAAGCCAAATGGCAAATGATTTAGGTAAACTAGAAAAATGGTCAGAATTGTGGCAACTGACATTTAATGTGGATAAGTGCAAGATAATGCATCTTGGACGTAAAAACCCAAGGGCAGAGTACAAAATATTTGATAGAGTCCTAACCTCAACATATGAGGAAAGGGATTTAGGGGTGATTATTTCTGATTACTTAAAGGTAGGCAGACAATGTAATAGAGCAGCAGGAAATGCTAGCAGAATGCTTGGTTGTATAGGGAGAGGTATTAGCAGTAGAAAGAGGGAAGTGCTCATGCCATTGTACAGAACACTGGTGAGACCTCACTTGGAGTATTGTACACAGTACTGGAGACCGTATCTTCAGAAGGATATTGATACCTTAGAGAGGGTTCAGAGAAGGGCTACTAAACTGGTTCATGGATTGCGGGATAAAACTTACCAGGAAAGGTTAAAGGATCTTAACATGTATAGCTTGGAGGAAAGACGAGACAGGGGGGATATGATAGAAACATTTAAATATATAAAGGGAATCAACACAGTAAAGGAAGAGACTATATTTAAAAGAAGAAAAACTACCACAACAAGAGGACATAGTCTTAAATTAGAGGGACAAAGGTTTAAAAATAATATCAGGAAGTATTACTTTTGAATGCATGGAATAGCCTTCCAGCTGGGGTCTCTAGGATTCTTTTTTCGGGGGGGGGCACATGGAGGGCCAGGGACAAAAGTAGGGGGCACATTTAACCCCGTCCTCGCCACAGTTTTTCCCCGCCCCTGTCGCATGTTAAGCCCCGCCCCCGACACAATGTGTTTAGTTTTTTTAATAATCCCTGGTAGAGGATTCATTATTTTCCACCAGGGATTATTAAAAAACAAACACATTAACCTTGATCCAGTGCCATAGTTGCCAACATTTGAAAAAAAATTTCCAAGGACATTTTGCAGCACAGCTATCAATTACTGTCTGGGTATAATATCAATGGACAGTCAGTGCTCTCTGTATAATACAGGGTTGTGTGTATAATAAATTGGGACACTCAGTGCTCCCTGTATAGTGCTGCTCTCTGTATAATACAGGTCTGTTTGTGTATAATATCCCAAGACAGAGAGCAGCACTATACAGGGAGCACTGACTATCCTGGGATATTATATACACACAGATCTGTATTATACAGATAGCTGAGAAAATACCCCATGTCCCAACCTCTAGACTACTAGTACCTGTCAACAGCAGCTCCCAGATGCGTGTAACAGGGCTAAAGTGTGCGGCAGCTCACACAGATGATTCAGCGGTAAAGTGCACTCGCTGGCAGAGCCAAACTGGGAATCCCTGGGAATCCAAAGCAGCCCTGGAAAAAAAATGTATGCCATTCCTACAAGTCAATATATATATATATATATATATATATATATATAGTACAGTAAGCACACAAGCTCACTGACATGCGCAAATAGGCTTACTGACAGACAAAACTCTCTGACTCACACACAAGCTTACTGCAGACAAACTCACTTGTATAAACAGAAGGCTCACTACAAAGAAGTTTAGGGACACACACAAGCTCACTATAGACAAGCTCACGGACACACACAAGCAGTACCATTTTAACAGAGTTAAGGGCCCCTGGGCAAAGCAATGCACTGGGGCCCTTCCTACACAACTCACAGGAATTTTAATTATTGATAGACTGCTGAGTCCATACACACACACAGACTGCTGAGTCCGTCCATACACACACACACAGGCTGCTGAGTCCGTCCATACACACACACACACACACACAGATACACACACAGACTGCTGAGTCCATCCGCACACACAGACTCTGCTGAGTCCGTACACACACAGACTGCTGAGTCCATCCACACACACACACAGACTGCTATGTCCATACACACACACACACAGACTGCCGAGTCCATGCACACACACACACAGACTGCCGAGTCCATGCACACACACACACAGACTGCCGAGTCCATGCACACACACACAGACTGCCGAGTCCATGCACACACACACAGACTGCCGAGTCCATGCACACACACACAGACTGCCAAGTCCATACACACACACACAGACTGCCAAGTCCATACACATACTGCCGAGTCCATACAGACACACACACTGCCGAGTCCATACACACACACAGACTGCCGAGTCCATACACACTCACAGACTGCTGAGTAAATACACACACACAGACTGCTGAGTCCATACACACACACACAGACTGCTGAGTCCATACACACACACACACACACACAGACTGTTGAGCAGTGGGGAATCCAGAGCCTGATCTCGGGAGGGCACTTGTAGATTATTTAAAGAAATAATCCAGACACAATAACCACTACAGCTCAGTGTAGTGGTTATGGTGTCAATAGTGCCGGGACCCCCTCCCAGAGTAAGTAGTCAAACCGTTTAAGACCAGGGAAATGGGGCTGTAGTAGGGCATAGGAGCAGTAGTGTATGTGAGTGGTGCAATGTGTAAGGGGTGCAGTGTGTGTGTGTGTGAGGGGGACAGTGTGTGAGCAGTGTGTGTGTTTGAAGGTTGTAGTGTGTGAGTGAGGGCGGCAGTGTATGTCAGGGATGCAGTGTATGTGTGGGACAGTATGTGTGTGTAACAGTTGCAGTGTGTGTGTGAGTATTGCAGTGTATGTGTGAGTGCGGGCAATGTGTGTGTATGGGGTGGCAGTGTATGGGGGCAGTGTGTGTGTATGGGGAGCAGTGTGTGTATGGGGATAGTGTATGTGTGTAGATTGTGTGTGTATGGTGGGCAGTGTGTGTGTATGGGGGAGCAGTGTGTGTGTATGGGGGGCAGTATGTGTGTATGTATGGGGGGAGCAGTATGTGTGTATGTGGGCAGTGTGTGTGTATGGGGGCAGTGTGTGTGTGTATGGGGGGCAGTATGGGGGGAAGTGTGTGTGTAGAGTGTGTGTGATAAGGGTAGGGGGGCTTTTTTTTTATAATATATATATTTTTTTTATTTCATTAAAATAAATATTTATGTCCCCCCTCCCTTCTTACCTTTACTGGAAGGAGGGGGGGCACTTCTTAGTGCCTGGTGGTCCAGTGGTGAATCCCTGGTGGTCCCAGTGGGGAGAGTGATCTCTAGCCCGCGCTCCAGGGCTAGAGTTCACTCTCGCAAGATTTGGAGCATTGCCGCAGTTACCACGACAACGCTCTATGCTCGTGAGAGTAGGACCCGGAGGAGCTGCAGGCAGAGCTCCCGGGTCCTCTCTCCCTCCCCTGCCGGCTGTCAGCACAGTGCCTGTGGACCGGAAGGGAGATCTCTGATCTCCCCTCCGGTCCACAGGCACATTGCAGGGCTAGCACCTGCATGTGCTGGCAGGGGAGAGGGAGACCGTCGGTTTTCTTGGGGGGGGGGAGGGGTGGACTGACCCCCCCCCTGGATCCGCCACTGCTGCTGAGTCCATACACACACACACACAGACAGCTGAGTCCATAGACACACACAGACTGCTGAGTCCATACACACACACAGACTGCTGAGTCCATATACACACACACAGACTGCTGAGTCCATATATACACACACAGACTGCTGAGTCCATATACACACACACAGACTGCTGAGTCCATATACACACACACAGACTGCTGAGTCCATATACACACACACAGACTGCTGAGTCCATATACACACACACACAGACTGCTATGTCCATATACACACACACAGACTGCTATGTCCATACACACACACACACAGACTGCTGAGTCCATACACACACACAGACTGCTGAGTCCATGCACACACATACAGACTGCTGAGTCCATGCACACACACACAGACTGCTGAATCCATGCACACACACACAGACTGCTGAGTCCATGCACACACACACAGACTGCTGAGTCCCTACACACACACACACACTGCTGAGTCCATACACACACACACTGCTGAGTCCATACACACACACACTTCTATGTCCATACACACACACTGCTATGTCCATACACACACACTGCTATGTCCATACACACACACACACACACACATTAAGCCTACCTGTCACTGTTGCTGGGGGTCAGGCAGCCATCTTCTTCAGCAGCATGGTCTGCAGCTTTACAGCGGGGGCGGGTCTTATGTGCTGGAGGCGGGGCTTCATTTGGAGGCGGGGCCTGTGCCGGGGAGACTGTCAGTGCTCCCTCCAGCCACAGACAGCCCCCAGCACCTCAGTCCTGCATTCCCCCGGGCTGTAACAGGCTGTTACAGTTTGAAGGAAGAACATGGCCAGCAAGTTGCCGGCATTTGGGGGGGCCCAAGGGGGGGCACAGCATGATGTAATGGGGCCATGGCTCCCCTCTGCCCCCCCCTAGCGACGCCACTGGTAGAGGTTAACACAGTTTAAGCATGCGTGGGATAGGCATAAGGCTATCCTAACAATAAGATAAGGCTAGGGACTAATGAAAGTATTTAGAAAATTGGGCAGACTAGATGGGCCGAATGTTTTTTATCTGCTGTCACATTCTATGTTTCTATGTTTACCCTGTTAAGCCAGTGCCTATCTCTATAGAGAAGTATTGAGGGCTCTACTGATCATGTGCCACAGTTGCTGTGCTGAGCTTCACTATGGCGAATTTTAACTATGTTTTCCATTGTCATAACACCAAACCTGAAGAATGCATGATTTGTACCATCTTTAGTAGGAAGTGTCTCTAGTTGTTCTCTGATTGTCAGTCACTAAAAGCACGCTTACTGACAGGGGACAAAGAAAATATGTCACCAGTTATTATACATTCAGGTCTCAAGAATAAATCAAAATTCTTCCCAACTTGGGAGAACAGGGATCATATCCCAGTGTTCAGTGAAATGATTAAGAGTGATTTTGAAAAACTCTCTAGGCATTAGAAAAAAGAAAATTTAACAAAGAAAGAAAAGCAAGCTCTTTAACAACTAAAGGATAATAGGGAGATAGTAATTAGACAAGCAGATAAAGGGGGGAGTATTGTGATCCTTGATAGGGGAGATTATATGAAAGAATCCCAGAGGATATTGGGCGATTCCAATACTTATAAGGTTTTAAAAAGCAACCCTTCATGTACTTTAAAGATAAATTATGTGATATTCTTAAAGAAGGATTGACTAAGGGCATCATAGATAAAGATGAGCTCCATTATTTATTCATTTCTTTCCCAAAGACAGCAGTCTTTTATTATTTACCTAAGGTGCATAAGTGTCTAGAGTCCCCTCCAGGTAAGCCTATCATAAGCGGGATTGGCTCACTCACTAGCAATATATCCCAATACATTGATCACTTTCTCCAGAAATATGTAATAGAAGCTAGGTCGTATGTGAAAGATTCCACTCAGATCATTAGAGAATTTGAGGATCTTGAGTGGCAGGAGGATTATCTCTGGGTGACGGCTGATGTGACATCTCTGTACACCGTCATCGACCACGAAAAGGGTATAGAAGCCGTCCAGAAGGTTTTAATTAAGGATTCCGAAATGCACGCATTTTATTTTATTCTTAGCCTCATCAGATTCATCCTGTTCCACAACTACTTCTGGTTTGAAGGGACATATTACCTTCAAACATGTGGAACAGCGATGGGCACCACGTTCACACCGAGTTACGACAATATTTTCGTGGCGGATTCGGAATTACAGAACATAACCCATTCGGTGCGAACCTGGTGCAGTGGAGAAGATATATTGATGATGTTTTAATTATTTGGAAGGGGGGAAGAAATGTTTTGGGAGAGTTTTTATCGTTTATCAATTCTAACTCTTATGGCCAAGGAAATTCATGATACCTATATTAATTTTTTAGATTTGACTCTTTTTATAAAAGAAGGAAAGGTGAGAAGCAAGACCTATTTTAAGCCCACTGATGGCAACGGTTTTATTGAATTTTCTAGTTGACACCATCGTAAATGGTTAACTAACATCCCGAAAGGCCAACACATGAGAATTTAAAAAAATTGCACCGATGGAAATGATTTTAAAGAACAGGTTCAGGTTTTAAATAAAAAAAATTTATGATAGGAATTATCCTGATGATCTGGTATCTAAGACCCAATTACAAGTAGAAAGACTTAAAGAAAGGATTTAATATTAAATGGACGTAAAAATAAGGACACGAGAGGTTTTAACAAGAATGGGTTTGACTTTGATTTTCTTACACGATATAATGGCAAGGCAAACCTGATTGAAAAATCTATCCTGAAAAATTGGCCGATTTTATTATGAATACTTAAAGAAAATTTTACCTACAAATCCGAAAGTGTTATACAAGAAAACAAATCATTTGAAAAGTATTTTAGCCCCCAGTATGCTCCCTAAAGAGGTTAAGAAGGATCAAACCAATTTTTTAATCGGAGAACTTAAAGGTTTTTTTAAAAGCGGTAAATGCAGCACATGCAAGTTTCAAGTGAATAAGTCTGCAGAATTCAAAAGCTCGGTTAAGAATGAAACTTTTAAAATCAAGCATTTTATAAACTGTCAGAGCCGATTTGTAGTGTATTTGTTACAATGTAAATGTGGCGTCCAATACATAGGACGCACCATTAGGAAATTACATGTTATCACACTTTAATGGAATTAATAATAAAAACATGAAACATAGTGTTCCTAAACATTGTACTAACTGAAGTTTTTAACTGGAAAGTTTTTTTTATGTATTGGGATTGGGGGGAGGGGGGGAGATACCGAGAAAATGGCGGCCATGAGGGAGACCGAATGGATATATAAAATGAAAACTTCGGTCCCCTCAGGTCTTAATACAGACTTGGATATATTGGCCTTTATGGATTAAGAATTTACTAATCATCCTCTTTTTTCTTGTGTTTTTCCTTGTTTTTTGCTTTGCATTTCATCTCCACTTCATTTATCTCTACTTTTACTAGTGAAAGTGAGAAAACTCCATGGTGACAGAATGTTCCATCTTGAATAACTTTTGGGATCCTGAAGAATAATTATTATTGATTGACTTCCTGCTATGTTATACATAATTGTACATATGTTTATGTAATTTATTTTTATACATGTATGCCTTATATAATGTTGGCCTTTGTCCATCTCCCCTGATATGAGTGTTTATGATCTACCATTTTCTCATTTGCCCTTATGCGATTTTATTCCGTGCCTTATGGGTACGATGGAAGAGCTAGATTCTGTTGGGTAGCCTTAGTTTTATCTATGTAACAATTTGAATGTCACACAGTGATACAAATGGACTTTCTATTATATATTTTATTATATTTTTTAGATTTCCATTTTTTATTATACTTTATATATTTTTTTATAGGAGATTTCTCCACTTTGATGGCTATTATTATTTTTCTCTACATTATTATTTTCTCTACATTTATTTTTTCTCCATATTAATTTTTATCACCATTCATTTTTTTTAATACCATTTGGTCCAATTTGTATTTTTAATATTGTTTGCTAGTTTTCTATGTTAGTATATAGTTTCCCTCAATAGGCAGGGTTGTTAACCCGGACCATGAGAACATAGAGCGCTCCTGGATATGGTTATGCTCGTTTGTACAGCCGGGTACAGTGGTCAAAGTTATTTGCGTTCCAGCTTGGTTGCGCATATCGGTCGACCGCACGTCATCACGTATGGCAGTGCGCTCGACGGATCAGCGCATGCGCGTGGTATGAATGGCGCCTATTTTGGCGGATTTAAAAGTAGAAGAAGTCTAACCGACGAAACGCGTTGAGCAGCTACGAGAGCCCTGTATTGGTGGTACAGCAGTCTTTTATCTTGTCAGGACACTGTTGGTTTTTGTGTTGTGCATTTTTTGCACTTTGGCACCTTTTGCACTGGCACTTTGTTACATCTGCACAGTCATCTGTATAGCTGAAGCTGCTGTCCATAGGGGCTATCGTGCCTTATTTGGCTTTTTAACATTGTATTGTGATTTTGCACAATTTTATGTGTGCTATTGCTTATTTTATTTTACTTGGATTTATTACTAATAAAGTGGATTTTTTCTTACATCTATTTGTCCCTCCTATCCATGGGAATCTCCAGATTGAATTTAACTTTGTGATTGTGGCGCCCTGTTTTTCTCTGATTTATTAGTCAGGATTCTGTGGTTGTTTGTATAGAGATTTTGGAGTGACCCCATGACAGTGGCTTGCCTACACTAGTTTGATATTTTTTCACCACCCACCCGTACACGTTTTTTTGTTTACAATTGTAATCATTGCTGTTTAGAAGAAATGGCATTGTTTCCTTTTATCACAGTGTAAGAACACCATCTAAGTCCCAAGACCACTACATTAAGCTGTTGTGATTTTGGTGCTTAGAATGTACTTTTAAGCCCAAAACAGCTGAGCTAGAAAAAACAGATTTAGAACATTTTCCTTGTGGATATTTTTTTAATAAATTCTTTATTTTTGTTGTGGAAAGGTTTGACTGACATGCTTGCCATGCCACGACAGTAAATACAGACATTTCAAGAGGCATAAGACTGTGGCATGTAATAGTACTGCACATTTTCTAAGCAATAAACAGACCAATACATGCAATGTCACTTAACAAGAGGGCAGTAGGATTGTTTGAGACATGCTATATGGGTTGACATTAACGTAGTCAAATATAATAAACCAAAATATGGTAACAAAAACTGTAGTTAATTCCTCAGCAGGGTATCCGCTGGGTACTATGGTCGGTGTTGGCACATGGGAGACTAAAAGGTTATAAAATAATGGTTGCACTATCATGCCCATCACAGCTGGGATAGTAGGGAGAATGTTAGCAAGATAGGCTGGTATGACCTCGGAGATGTGCCACCCGGGGAAGGAGCCCGCATGGTCCAATCTAGCTATATTATTCCAGCAGGCATATTGTAGACAGTTGTCATGGGGTAACAGGCTACATGACGTCATACACAGTAATCAATTCGAGCATGGCATTGCAGAGTGGGGGCACATTTTTATAGTTCATATATTAAACATGTTTATGCTATCATATCATGTTAACTGGAGGAGGCGAATAGGTTTAACATAAGATACCTACTTTACATGGTGTTAGATGGTTATGTACTTTAAGCAGTAGGTTAGATTGACTTTAAAGGCATGCAAGTAAAATTAAAAAATAAGTAAAAATAGCAAAAACTGAAACTAAAGATTCCCACTGGAGATGGACATAGTGTAGCGCCACTGTGCCTCCTTAAAGATGTATTAAGTAGGTGGAAATAAAATAATAACGTGGGCTGGTAAGATGAACTAAGTAATGCCCGCAAGATGGCTACCACAGGAGATCATACAAAGCAAGAATAGGAATGAGCTAGTAAAGTTCCTGCCTTTCACAGCTAAAATAAACTTTGCCATGAATGATCCTGTGCATGGGTCTGCTTAGCCGATGCCAGTTATTGGCAGGCTTCTATCACTGGAAAACCCGAGTCCTCCATTCAGTGTGTAGGGTCGCCACCAGCCACATGCCTGCGTGCTGCTTCCCACCGACAGGCAAGCAGCTGAGTCCCTTAATCTGCCCCGGGTCTCTGGGCATTCTTCATGCTCATGATCGTTGTTGCCAGGAGTGTGTCATCCGAGAGAGCGGCTTGTGAGCGTTGATTCGCCTTACTCCAGCACGTCACACAGAAAAGCGGTGGTGAGATGGCGAGGCAGGTTTTTGGTGTTGTCGAGCTGCTGCCCGCTCTGATGTCTGGAGATTCTGCCGATGGGGCCAATGGCAGGGTGGGCGTGCTGCCCTATGGGTGCAGCAGGTGAGTTAAGAAGGGTAGATCTGTGTTCCAGGCACCTCCAGAACTCTTGGCATATACGATTGAAACAGCATCTCAAAGCAGTCTTTCCGGGCCTGGGTCTCTGTTTCCCCTTGAGGCTGTGGAGGTTGTCGCTCGGCAGCCATCTTGGTTTTAGCATGCATACTTTCCTCCAGCAGGAGATTCTTGCTGCAGGTATGTGAACTTCCCCAGCGGGGACCAGGATAAACCACCGGTCCAGGGGGGGATGCGGGGTGCCAGGAGAGTTGTTGCTCAGAGATGTCCCCATGTCAGGAGATTGGCCGTCTCCCCCGGTCTTTAGGCCTCTGTCTACTCTAGGCCGCATATGTGAAGTGTGGGAGTGTCATGTATTCATCCGCTTATAAAAATGTGGTTAATGACATTTACTGTCCACGCAGGAAAAGTTGTGCCGAGCAGCAACCTAATCCACAGAAGGGTTAATGCTGAGCAGCAATTATGCAAATGGAAACCTGGTAACTGACTTTGGGGTCAAAGGCCGGTTACAGCCTATCAGATCTAGAGGAGAGGTATTTAGGCCCAGTTCTCATCCTGCTCAGTGCCCTGTCGTGGTTTCCCATGTGGTTGTCCGAGAGCGCGTTATTTATTCTGGTAATTCTGGTTATTTGACTTTGACATTGTTTAGCTCGGCAGTCAGGCCCCGCCCCCTCGTTTTGGATATTTTTAATTAAAATTTGCAAGTCTTTGCATATTTCCACCGGTTTTCAGTTTAGTGATTAAACCATAATGGGGTGAAATCCCACTGTACATTCAGGTATGTAAAACATCTAAAAACGTTACATAGGTAAAATGTGTGTTTTTGCCAGTTTACATTTATCCACAGGGTTTCAGGTTCAAAGTCCAGGTTTTAGGAACATAAACTTGCTTTGCTGATTTTCTAATGGTCTTTCTTTCCAGTGTCAATAAGTCTCAGGGCATGTCAACAGTAGTATGACCAGCCTGTGTCACAACATATGCTTAAACAAAGACAATCTAAGTTAAATTCCTTGTTGTTAAGTCTCCCTGCTGTTTGCGTTCTTGAAACCAAAGCTCACATATTGCTTCAGACTTGTAATTCATGCAGTGCCACAAAGGTCTCAGCAGGAGGCCATTCTCTAGAGCATGGACTCCACAGGGCAGGTCAAAGAGGACAACACAACTTCCTAACAAGGTGAGTTATTTAAGGTCTGGCCTGGAGCCCATGCTTAACTACTTTGGGTATAAAGCTTTTTTTTTTTTTTTTAATGAAAATAAAGTTTCAAACCTATACAGCAATTAATTTAAAGAAAACATGAACACAAAAAAAAAACCACAAAACAAAAAAAACAAAAACAAGTAGCTTAGTATGGATAGGTCAACTATTCCTTTTGTGTCTTAAAAAAAAAAATTAAAAAAATTCCTCAGCTATTCACTAGGTGCTTAGTTTGTCAAATTTTCATGAAGTATAAATGTATTGAATGTTATGTAGCTTTTTTGGCGTTTTAGCCAAATAAGGATTTTGACAAAGGATGCATTAACCAGAGGGGGTCAAACATCTTTCGTGTAATTGATATATGGATTAGTGTTTAAAAGGAAAAAAAATAATCTTATCATAGATTATGTGGGAGCATGTCAAGCAACCAAATACATATTATTGGAATGGGATTGGGAATCCCTTAAAAGGTTAGTTGACTTTGAGGTTTTCATAATTAAATAGACTAGATGCAGTAGAGGGATTCAAACTTTAGTAACCAGTTCTGACTTTTCATATGTAACGCACGCACATATATCGACACAGTCACACTTTTATACCCTGGGGGGCAATGGGAATGCTATTAATTCATAAACCTTGTATTTCAAGCCAGTGTGCATACAAGCATAAACCTTGTATATCATGAGAATGAGTAGTAATGCATAAACCTTGTATATTATGCCTGTGAGCAATAAATGCATAAACTTGGTATATCATGCTAATTCAAATAAAATGCATACATTTGGTATATGATGCCAAAGAGCTACATGTGCCTCCAAAAAGCCTGCTATTGCCCTGTGCCCTCATACAGCCTGCCATCTCCCTGCCACCAGCCTCTGTTCAATATCTCTGCCACCAGCCTCTCTGTGCTATCTCTTTGCCTTCTGTGAGGGTGACAGTGTATGTGGGAGGATGACACGGTGTGTGAGATTGTCATTGTGCGTGTGGGAGGGTGATATTCCCCTTCCACCCATGTCTCCCTCCCCTCTTCTATCCATGTCCCCATACACTTTCCGTCCAGGTCTCTCCCCCTCCATCTCCCCTCCCCTTTTCATCTATGTCTCTCTCCCCTAACCTCAATGTTCCCCTCCTCTCCATGTCGCCCTACCCCTTCTATCCACCCCTCCTCTTCATGTCCCCCTAACACTTTCAATACATATCCCCCTCCCCTACATGCCCCCCTATCCATTCCATCCATATCCTTCTCCTCTTCATGTCCCCTCACCCCTATCATCCATGTCCCACTTGTCTCCATGTCCCCCTGTCATCCCTGTCCCTTTGCCCCTTCTCTCCATGTCCCCCTATCATTTATGTTCCCCTCGCCTCCATGTCCCCTTGCTCTTCTGTCCATGTTCCACTACTATTCCTGTTCCTCTTCCCTCCATGTCCCCTTGCCCTCCCCTCCATGTTCCCTACTATTCCTGTCCCCTAGCCCCTTCTCTCCATGTCCCCCTCCCCTCCATGTACTCTTGCCCTCCCCTCCATTTTCCCCTCCCTCCTTCCCAAAACGGCAGGCAGCCTGTCAGTCACAGAGCTGGCGCCCTGGATGAAGGTAACGCCGGCTCTGCTCAGTTACAGTTAGAGTTCCCCCCTCCCCACTGTTTGTCTTGTCCAGACAAGGGAGGGGGCCTTTCCATGTCCAGTGGTGCACACTGCCTCCTTCACACTGAGCACCAGGTAGTCACATGACACCCGGCGCTCCTACGCAGAGCGGGAGGGGGAGGCGCTCCCCCAGCCGGCTTAGTGTGCGTGCTGTTCCCTTATGGAGCCGCACGCTGACTGCAGGCAGAGGGAGCGCAGAAATTACTTGTCAGTCTGACAAGTGATTTTTGCGCTCCAGGCGGGGGCCGGCTTTGCTAACGGTTCAGCGAACTTGTTAAATGTTAGTAACAGGTTCACACAAACTGGTTTAACTCCTAAATGACAGTGATTTGAGCAGTGAAATTGCAGGGGAATGATCTATACAATAAAACTGCTTTATTTAGCTAAAGTAATTTAGGTGACTATAGTGTTCCTTTAAGCTGCTCTGGCTTTTAATGCTCAAGACAAATTTTGTCCAAGTCAGCCCTGGTTGTGAGTGCCTTTAGTGCCCCTCTAATCTCACAGATGCTTCTCTATCCTTCCTAAAGTTGTCTCCGGTTGCTAGTATATTGACGTTTTCTACATGAAATCGTGACCCCCACCTGGCCATATCCAATTTGTAGATCCTGTCCAAATGCTCCATCCCCTTAAATCGATTTTGCAGTCCATCGGTTTAGCTGCTCTAGTGCCATAATGCCTCATGAAATGTGCTTGTAAAATGAACTGGAAGCATGATTATTTCACAACCATGATGGTAAGAAATGATACAATGAGATTTTGTTTGTTGTTTTCAGATATGAACTTGATATAGAGATTATCTCAGTGGTACATATTTCTGGTGTTAGAGCTGACACTAACGTACAAAAACGCGATACCTCGAAGTTTAAACAGAATTTTAATTTCCGCCGTGTTCTAAAGGTTAAAATGAAAGGCATCAGTCAAAACCATAGATTAAAGCAAAGAGAAGTGAAAGTCAAAATATTGTTAAATTTGGCATCTGAATGTTCTTGTCTGTGCTTGCACAGGCCTAAGGCAGCTGCACCAGAGTGTGAGAGACAGCAATGCCTTCTCACAGGTGGCAGACAGACTAACCATGTTATTAAGAGACAGAAATTCCAAAACCTTGAACTTAAATTTTTTTTTTTTTAATAATTCTAATTAGTCCCTAGCTTGAGAGTAAACACTGTCGAACATCAAAAAAAACTGAGTAGATGCATCAAAACTCATTACCTCTCCATAATATATGAGAGAAAGAGAGAGAAAGAGTGTGTGTGGACAGGTGACAGTGTCATGTTAGAAATTCATGCCCAAAAGACCAAAAGTAGCCAATCTGGAACCATTGCTGACTTGGAGAATTATTCCAATTCACCTATTTTCAACTTAAAGGGTTATTCCAACTACCATGATCACTTCTGCTTTTAGAAGTGGTCATGGTGCAGGCAATTTGCATGTGGAGCATTTCAGCTTGAATCATTGCCTATACAGAGAAATCTGTGATTTTGTACTGGTGTGTTATTACACCTCTGGCACACATGACAGTCAGCCCAGAACGCTGTTCAGACTAATGTGACTCCTGAGTTAAAAATTTAGGTGTCCACATGCACTTTGTGGTGGCATCCGATGTACTCAACTTTGGTCTTGCAGGAAGTACAGTGAGAAAACCTGCGTAGAGAAGCCTGTAGGATTTGTGTGTCTCAGTACAGCATGGCTTCAGTCTCTACCCTCCTCCCCACAGCATATTTGACTGATTCCCCATGCATTATCCCACGTCAACCTACATGATATCTGAATAATTTTTCTCCTCTTGGCCATTCCCCAAAACCATTGGTGAAGCTGTCCATTCTTTACCTCCATGGTAAATTTGGAGGTGGGTGTGCTTTAGCCAGCAGTGTTCACATCACTAACCACACATTCCCCTACCCTTCACCACCACCCAAGGTCCA